TTGATGGGTTGATGGGTTGATGGGTTGATGGGTTGATGGGTTGATGGGTTGATGGGTTGGAGTTGGAGAGTTGGTGGGTTGGTTTAAAACAAAACAAAAACATACATACCTATTTCCAAAAAAACATGCAACCTTTTCGCTGTCGCAGTTCTGGCTTGTTTCTATGACGACCAATCCCTGAGGATTGACAATTTCACGCATGCGCGCAAGCCATGCTGGAAATAAAAATAGCCATATTTTTATCATATTATAAGGAATTTCATCTTATGTTAAGTGTTTATTTTATTTTTAACATAAAAAAAGTTTTGTTGCATTTGCAAGGTTTCGATATTCTGTGAACTCCGGCCTTTCAACAGCATGTTGGGAAATTCGTTTTTAGCTGCCGCCAGTCAGGAACACGCTGATTATTTTTGATTGACGGCATCGAAAAACTAAATTTCAGCGTGCAGCTTATAAGTACCGAGTTCGCAGAATATGGAAAACCGCAGTAAATTTCCATACCTTCAGGACAGGATAGGCGGTCAAGACCTCTAAAGGTAACACAATCAAACTTGTTTATCTCGTTTGGAAGCCATGTAAGCTGAATTAAAACGATGGGAAGATTGTGAACAATAGATAAGGGGATTAACAAATGACAAACAAACAGAAAGGCGATGGGAAAAGAAGGAAGGAAGGAAGGAAGGAAGGAAGGAAGGAAGGAAGGAAGGAAGGACATAATAGAGAGAAGGGTAGATTTTCTTGTCTTGAGCAAAAATGACCGTCATATTTACTGACCTGCTTGAATGTAACTCTCTCTGCATTAGCACCTTCAAGAATTTCAACCAACATACCAGAACTTCCCAAACCCATTCCTTTTCTTTTCTGCAGGTTCTGAGCAGCGTTAATAAGGCGACCACTGTAATCAATCCCCAAAACCTGTTTCGAAATAGAGTATATATATATATATAAGCGGCAAATTTTCCCAAAGACGTTTTTTTGCAGTAATTAACTTCTAAATTCCAATTGGACTTCAGTGGATGAACAGCCACTTTGTGGATAAATGCCACTGTTAAATTTCATTTACTTTTTTACATTTATATTATTTAATATATACCTCTTTTTAGACGCCGCTGGACAATTCCCAAAGGATGTGGATAGCAGCTTAATAGAGGTTACGAGATGTGCTGGTATATACCGGTACTCTATATATGGTATGATCAATCCCATAAATTTGAATTGTGCGGAAAAGCATTTTGAACATTTTCGAAGAAGAAAAGAAAAGAAAAAAAAGACAAGTAAAAAAAGAAAAACTTTGGAAAATCGAGGAAGGATAMGGGGACGATGCTAACTCGTGGGTCTGCCTCGCAGACAACAGACACAGGGAAATACGACACTCGGCAATGTTTGATATGATAGACAAAAGGTACGAAGCGATTAGAGTAAATCATATTAATCGGGCAACTAGGTTTTAATCAAAATTGTCCATACTTCATCAAAGTGTTTAGATAACTCGAAGGCTTGTCGTCCTACAGAACACAGAAGATTTAAGGCCGACCCTGTTGCACAGTTACATTGACTAACGTACTCTAAACACAGATCTGTAAACGGGTCAATCGACTGCGGAGAAAAAAAAGAGAAGCCCGCGGTAAGATGAGAATTTCAATCTTAGTAAGGAGGGCTCGGTCTCTTTATCTTGGGTGTAACGTTTTCCCTTTTCAGACCATGTTTGTCATTCTCTTGAATATAAGATTCTTTGCTTGAGTTGTATCCATATTTATATGTCTTCTCATGCACAACCATTAAAAAAAGAAATGATATTCTAGGGAATGACACGTGGTCTGAATTGAGAAAACATTACGACGAAGTGCTGAGTTGGAAGAGCTTAAGAATTTGAGGGGGAAATCATACGTCTTGAGGGCAAAGATTGTTTTATGTGTTGTTCTCTCCCTTGCCGGTCACGCGAGGTTTTGTTTTCGGATTATCTGGTTTTCCTCCCTCCGTAAAAATCAACCTGTCAGTTGTGTTGTGTGTTGCAAATAATGAATGTAGTGGTAGTATGTGTGTGGAGCGAGCCTCACGGAACGAAAAAGGCCAAAAGTCGTATCAATGGGAGATAACTATCCCCCTCCCCCACACCTATCTTGTCTTGTACCTCATCTCCATACTGTTTGGCCAGTTCTTCTTGGAGAAATTCGTTTGTGTCGTTGACGTATTGTTTGTTGGTGCTTGGGTACCGGGCCTCTCCGTCTTCTATTCCTGGGATCTGAACACGATTTCCTACGAAAAAGTAGGGAGATGTACCATAGGCTCCAGAGCTTCTATTTCGCTTTCTGTGGTTTGTATCGTCTTCCGTCAGAACAGCAAACACCAGAGCGAGAATAAATAACCTCTGGACTCCAGGGTTAAGAAGATGGGACATCCATCCATATGTTCTCGACCAATCGACCAACTATCCCTCCAACCGACCATCCATCCCTCCAACTGACCATTCATTTCTCCATCTGACCATCCATCCCTCCAACTGAGCATCCATCCTTCCTACTGACCATCCATCCCTCCATCTGACCATCCATCCCTCCAACTGAGCATCCATCCCTCCAACTGACCATCCATCCCTCCAACCGACCATCCATCCCTCCAACCGATTATCCATATTTCTAACCAGCCATTTTTCCAACTATCCATCCATCCAATCACCCACCAACCAACCAACCAACAAACCAAACAACCAATCAACCAACAAAATAACCAACCAAGCACCCACTCATAACCGCATGCATACAATCGCATTTTTCTCAAGTATAATCTTTATAACTTACCCTCCACACCTACTCCAGGAATGTACACGCTTGTGCTAACAAGACGAACAGGRGGAGGGGTGGAGTTGACAGATCGCACAACACGAAAACCGAGATGCTGGAAAAAGTGTGGACGGAAAGCATAACGAGCAAAGCGAGACGCTTCGTCTCCGGTCGACGCCCATGAACCACCCTGAGGATAAAGAACAGATATCATTGTCTAAAACAGAACATTTATGTCGAAACATTATACTGTTGTTAGATCCGGTAATCCAACTATATATAAATCCGCATACCCCAGATCAACCAATAACAGTACTTAAGGCGCGTCTAAGTCGTACCACCTGGCATCTTTAGTATTATTATTGTCGCAGTCGCCTCTATATTCAGTTGACTTTTGCAAATAATTAATTYATTCTTAAGCGTGTTCAACCCATACAAATGAGTCGACTTTAATCAAACTTTGCAGTGGCATTTACAGAATAGACCCCTTGCAGTCCGTCAGAATGCAGCTTAATTTGAAGGACATAATAATAGGTTTCCAATTCTCATGAGATTTAAATTATTTTACTTCGTCCTCCAAATTGAGCTGCTTTGACGTTACATCAAGGGATCTATAAAATCTACTAGCATTGAACTTACCAATATCACGAAGTGCTTTCCATCAAATGTTGGAGTAGAGAAGTCATCATAAAGATAGTGTGTTTCAAAACCAGGCAGGCCGTTGAATTGGTCCTCCGTCCAGCACCACACGTTGCCGAACGCGTCATGGAAGCCTGTTTCACTGGCTGGGAACATGTTGACCGGCTGAAATAGATAAAACAAAATGGATGAATGAGTGGATGGATTAGAAGAAAGGGTGCACGGACGGACGGACGGACTGACGGACAAAGCGATGGACAGACCGATGGACGGACGGACTGAACAAACGACGGACGGATAGAAAGAAAAAAATGGATTGATGGATGGACAGACTGACTCTGACAGACGGATAGACGCACAAGAACATGAATAAAAGAATGAATGCTTAAATAGATTTATTCAAAAACAACTGAATGGTTGGCAAAAAGAAATAATTTTGATCATTCTCACCGTTGATGATGCATATTTCATGTTGATATTAGCTTTAAAATCTATCTGGTATAATGGGTCGCTAGCAGTTCCCATGCAAACAGGTTTCTGCAAAAGGTAAGCACAGATTTTGATGATGCTATCATACACAACATATTAAACAAGGCTCATATTACAAAACAGTACGGTACCCGTGGTCTTCTTATGGCATGGTGCTCACACATATGGCTCATTATATTACAACATAGTACGGTACCTGTGGTCCTCTTATGGCATGGTGCTCTGCCTCGGTAAGTAATCTGTACTCAGGTCCTTTCCAGGCACAATAAGCTTTTGCTTCAAAGTAGTTCACTTCTGCTGGCCAGTCTAGAGGCGTGTCAATCACGTCAAATATAGCACGGTATCTGGAAGAACCAAACTTTGTTCTCTAGTGTCTATTGAAACACAACTTGACACACAATAGACGTAACGTACCATACTTGTAATGTTTTCCCATTTCAGACGACGTGTCATTCCCTAGAGTAACATTTCTTTGTTTAACGGTTGCCCATGAGAAGACACATGAATATGGACACAACTCAAACAAAGAATCTCATTCTCAAGAAAATTACACGTGGTCTGAAATGGGAAAACATAACACCAAAGGTAAAGAGGTACATCCTACACTGGTGTGGCATATACCACGTATAGATTCTTACTTGTACTGTAAGTGGTATTCATTCCCATTGATGTCATTGTCACTGGTTGCTAGGCAACAATGTGAATAATCAGCAAGGTCATTTCCGCATCCGCTCTTGCAGGCCTGGTTACATACCCAGAAGCTTGGGTGCTTGGCTTTGCGGAACGAGCGCCATTTCCAACCTGATTTAAAAATAGAAACCAATCAAAATACGTGCCTTGTTATCGAAGCGAGACGAACGTTGAGGTTGGAATGGTAAAAACCTTTTTTAACACTTTGGACAATTAGTCACGTCTAAATCATTGCAAGCTCACCGTTCGTCTCGCTTCGATGCAAAGGCACGGCTACCTTTCAAGATGGCGCAGTTAACTGTGAAGGGGCGAACAATTCAGCTTACCTTCGTCCGACCAGTAGGTTTTGTTTTCGTATCCACCAGCCTCGACAAACTCCAGAAACTCACGATTTGTAACAAGGTATTTGCTGGCTTCGAACTCGGGTACCCTGTGGWGCATATAACAAATGTTTAGTTACTCAGACTCCTCTCGTCCAAATGCTTACAAAAGAGAGAGGGACTGGGAGAATTAGTAATCAATTCTTGATTTATTCAAAATGGCGTCTGATCAGACTTGGATGAGAAGATGATTGGTCAAACACGCTACGTCACTTGTCTTCCAATAATGTTCTGATCCAAATATGGTATGTTACCATGGCAATACCTTACGGTCCATTCTCCATACTCATTGTCCCATCCATACGAGGGAAAGTCACGTGGTTTTCCTACTGTAACTGTGCAGTTTTGCACCTTTAGCATCGAGGTTTTGGTAACAGGTGGATCTAGAAAAATAAAATGAATACAAACACGTTAACAAATATTATGACCGTATCTTCTCGGTGTACACGATGTCGGTGTACACGTTATTGAATATTTTGAAAATGTAGTGATATGTACGCGTGCGCAAAAGCATTTCTCACGTTTCGTTTTGAAGGCAGTTTTATACTTTTTTACCTGCTGTTAGCGGTCCATATTCCCAGTTATCTGGCCTGCCAACATATTCAATCGGCAACTGACGAATCAGGACTGAAGATGTCTCGAAATGAATCCTGGTCGACAGAAAGTAATTTAGCAGGTCAGTTTATCATATTACAAAATGGAATCACGTGGTTAGATGATATGTGATCACGTGACCACAATATCAGACTCAGAAAAAACAACTTCAGTGACTGAAAGACGAACAACTTTGGCCAATAAAAAACTTACAAATTCCAATGAAATTCTGACAAAGACCAAACAAGGAAGCATGGGTAATGTGTCGTCTCTCGCCAATGCGTCCCGGGCTCGATTCACGGGTTCGCATCGTATGTGAATAGCCCGAAAAAAAGTATCCAAGTTTTTGTTGGTTGACTCTTGTGCTTCAAGGGTTTTTCTCCGGGTTCTCCGGTTTTCTTCCCTCCTTAAAAATCAACTTCTAAATTCTAATTCAAAATCTTCGGACTTTCACTTAGTATAGAGCTTAGGGCACTGTTGTAATTAATTAGATATTATTAAACATGGTTTCATAGGAAATCTTGTAAGAATATCTTACCTTTCATGTTCCATTCCCATGAAAAGAGACCACTAAAATACAAATAAATATTAATAATAAACTACTTAGTGGTTATAGAAGCAGATCGATTGTTTCAGGAACATCTCCAGATAGGGTCCTTACCCGGGGAATGTCCCTAGTGACAGGGACGTCCATTGGTTTAGTATTCAGTGAACATCACCAGATAGGGTCCTTACCCAGGGACTGTCCCTAGTGATAGGGACGTCCATTGGTTTAGTATTCAGTGAACATCACCAGATAGGGTCCTTACCCAGGGACTGTCCTTAGTGACAGGGACGTCCATTGGTTTAGTATTCAATGGACATCACCCGATAGGGTCCTTACCCAACAGGGACTGTCTTGAGTGGCAGGGACGTCCATTGGTTTAGTATTCAGTGAACATCACCAGATAGGGTCCTTACCCAGGGACTGTCCCTAGTGACAGGGACGTCCATTGGTTTAGTATTCAATGAACACCACCAGATAGGGTCCTTACCCAGGGACTGTCTTGAGTGACAGGGACGTCCATTGGTTTAGTGTCGATAAGCTTCAGGATGGTCTTCTTTACATCATCTCTGTATTTCTGTACTTCACTGACAGATGGCCAAACGAATTTTCCACCCATACGGAAATTTTCCTTTGAATTAATAAAAGGTTTGAAGGTTTAAAACACGAGAGCCAAAAATGCCTCTCTACATTAGAGGGAAATAAAGAAAAGAAAAGTAGAAAGGGACTCTTA